GCCTAGCCAAACTGATACACACATTTTTGGGGGACATAATTCAAACCATGACATCTGTCAAGAGGAATAACCTACCAGTGATTAGAGTACCAGAACAGGGGAGGTGTCTTGGTCGTCTAGTGCTGCTATAACAGAAATACAAGTGGACGGCTTTAACAAAGAGAAGGTTATTATCTCACAGTCAAGTAGGCTGGAAGTCCAATTTCAGGGTGCTGGCTCCAGGGGAAGGCTTTCTCTCTCTGCCGACTCTGGAGGAAAGTTCTTGCCATCAGTCTTCCCTTGGTCTGGGAGCATCTCAGTGCAGGAACCTCATGTTCAAAGGATGTGCTCTGCTCCTGGCACTGCCTTCTTGGTGGCATGAGGTCCCCCTATCTCTCTGCTTCCTTCTCTCTTTTATATCTCAAAAAAGATGGGCTTAAGACATTATCTAATCTTGTAGATTTCCTCAATATAACTGCCGGTAATCCATTTTATTACATCATAGTGATAGGATTTAAAACACATAGGGAAATCACATTAGATGACAAAATGGTAGACAATCATACAATTCTGGGAATCATGACTTAGCCAAGTTGACGGATATTTTGGGGGGACACAATTTAATCCATGACAGGGGGGTAACATAAAATACAGAGAGAATTGTTGAAGATTTGTTGGCAGAAAACTTCCCTGATATCATGAAAGATGAGAAGATATCTATCCAAAAAGCTCTCTGAACCCCACACAGGGTAGATTCCCCAAAGAAAATTGTGAAGACATGTTATACTCAAACTTACCAAAACCAAAGATGACGAGAGAATTTTAAGAGCAGCTAGGGATAAACAAAAAGTCATCTACAAAGGAGAGTCAAAAAGATTAAGCTCTGACTAGTCAGCAGGAACCATGCAGGAAAGAAGGCAATGGGATTACATATATAAAGCCTTGAGGGAAAAAAATTGCCAACCAGGAATTTATATATCCAGCAAAATTGTCTCTCATATATGATGGCAAAGTTACGACATTTCCAGATAATCAGAAGTTAAGGCAATTTGTAAAAAACAAACCAATATCACAAGAAATACTAAACAGAGTCATCAGGTTAGAAAATCAATAACATCAGATAACAACCCAAGACTAGAACACAGGACAGAACAACCAGATATCAACCCAGATAGGGAAGTCACAAAAATAAATCCAAGTCAAAACACTGAAAATAAGGAAACAGAGACGTCAATATGTAAAAGATAACAACGTTAAAACAAAAAAGAGAGACTAAATAATGTAGTCATAGAACTGTCATACGGAGAGAAAGTTAAGGCAGTATCAAGAAATAAAAGATTGGTTTAAACTTAGAAAAATAGGGGTAAATATTAAAGTAACCACAAAGGAAACTAACAATCCTACATATCAAAATAAAAAAGAAGTAAAACATAAAGACTCAGCAAATACAAAATCAAGAACAATGAAAAAGATGAAAAGAAAATAAAGAAAAATGACTCAGCACAGAAAATTCAGTAGAACAAACTGTCAACAACCCACACACACACAAAATATATCAAAATGACAGCAGTAAACTCATACCTATCAATTATGCTGAATGTAAATGGACTAAATGCACCAATAAAAAGACAGAGAGTGGCAGAATGGATAAAAAGCACAATCCTTCTATATGCTGTGTACAAGAGACACCATTTGACTCAAAGACACAAACTAAAACTCAAAGGATGGAAAAAAATATGTCAAGCAAACAACAATCAAAAAAGAGCAGGAGTGGCAATATTACTCTTTGATAAAATAGGCTTTAAAGCAAAATGCACCACAAAGTATGAGGAAGAACACTATATAATGATTAAAAGATAAATACACCAGGAGGACATAACTATAATAAATATTTACGCACACAATGACAGGGTTCAAAATACATAAAACAAACTCTAACACCATTGAAAAGAGAAAGAGACAGCTCCACAAAAATAGTAGGAGACCTCAACACACCAGTTTTGGTGAAGGACAGACCATCTACAAAGAAGCTCAATAAAAATGCAGATCTAAATGCCACAATCAACCAGCTTGATCTCATAGACATATTCAGAACTCTCCACCCAACAGCAGTCAAGTATACTTTCTTTTCTAATATACATGGAACATTCTCCAGAATAGAACACTTATTAGGCCACAACCTTAGCAGAATCGAAAACATCAAACTATCACAAAGCATCTTTTCTGACCATAAAGCCATAAAAGTAGAAATCAATAACAGAAAAAGCAAAGAAAAAATCAAATACATGGAAACTGAACGACACTTTGCTCAAAAACTACTGGGTTATAGAAGAAATCAAGGACAGAATAAAGAAATTCACAGAATCAAATGAGAATGAAAACATATCCTACCAGAACCTTTGGGACATAGCAAAAGCAGTGCTCAAAGGTCAATTTATAGCAATAAATAAAAAAATCCAAAAAGAAGAAAGGGCTAAAATTAAAACATTAACCCTACAACTCGAACAAATACTAAGAAAATAGCAAAAGAAGCCCTCGGGCAGAGAATAAAAGAAATAATAAAAATTATAGCTGAAATTAATGAAATAGAGAATAGAAAAACAATTGAAAGACTTAACAAGATCAAAAGCTGATTCTTTGAAAAGATCAACAAAATCTATAAAGCATTGGCCAAACTGACAAAAGAAAAACAGGAGAGGCAGCAAAGAACTTGAATAAGAAATGAGATGGGTGATATCACAACAGACTTAATTGAAATTAAAGAATCATAACAGAATACTATGAAAAATTGTACTCCAACACATTTGAAAACCTGGAGGAAATGGACAAATTTCTAGAAACAGAGAGAGTGGCTTTTAAGACGCTTCCGCAACCAACATGAGCGGCCGAAGTAGGAGTAGAAAGTCCTCTCGCGCCAAAAGCCAGGGCAAAGCCCGTGCCAAAGCCCGAGTCCACGCTGCTCCTGACTACGCTCCGCACGACCTGGACCCTCCACAGCGCCCGAAGCTCCGGGAGGAAACCAAGGCGGCACAGGTGCAGGCTGGCGCGGGTAGGGGTGGCCTGGAAACCGCTGCACCTGCTGCACCCGGCCGCCCCGGGGCGGAGGGGCCCAGTCGGCTCCCCCTGGACTGTGATCTCGCGTTCCGGGCCCGAGCTGCGGGGGGTCGCGGGCAGGCCGCCCCCAGGGCCGGCCCGGGGAGGGCCCCGTCTCTCTTGGAGCGCCTGGAAAGAGACACTGTCTTCATGGGAACTGTGGGAACTGTGGCAAGGCCGAAAAATGGCTCTCGGGTTGGAAATCTGCGTGGCCCTTCTAGTAAGAAGGCCCCAGAAACCTGTAGCGCAGTGGGAAGGGGTCCCCAGGCGATAGCTGGTGGGAAGGTGAAGAAAGGGACCACTGGGGAGTGTGCCTCTGTCTCAGTGATGGAGGAAAAGAAGGTGGAGAATGATGCAGGGTCAGGGCCCCAGGCCGCAGATGGCAGCATGGACACCCTGTAGACCGTCCAACTGAAGCTGGAGACCATGAATGCTCAGGCGGACAGAGCCTACCTTCACCTGTCGTGCAAGTTTGGGCAATTGCGACTGCACCACTTAGAGCACAGGAACCTCCTCATCCAAAATATCCCGGGCTTCTGGGGACAAGCCTTTCAGAACCACCCCCAGCTATCATCCTTTCTGAGCAACCAAGATAAAGAGGTACTTGGCTACTTAAACAGCTTGGAGGTTGAAGATCTTGGCCTCGCCAGATTGGGCTACAAGATCAAGTTCTACTTTGGGCACAACCCTTATTTCCAAAATAAGGTGCTCATCAAGGAATATGGATGTGGCCCTTTGGGTCAGATAGTGTCTCGTTCTACTCCAATTCAATGGCTCCCAGGCCATGATCTCCAGTCCCTAAGCCAGGGGAACTCAGACAATAGCTGTAGCTTCTTTGGGTGGTTTTCAAACCACAGCTCTATTGAGTCTGACAAAATTGTTGAGAAAATTAACGAGGACCTGTGGCCCAGTCCTCTGCAGTACTATCTTATGAGTGAAGGGGGCTCTTGGAGAGAAAGGAAAGGAGGTCAGGCGAAGTCCAGCAAGGCAGTCAGTGGAATCCCCTGAGGTAAACCAGTCCAGAGGAGGTTAGGCAAAGTCCATCAAGGCAGCCAGTGGAATCCCCTGAGGTAAACCAGTCCAACTGATCCTACACAAGTCTCATACCTCCTGCTGGACCTGGCTGACATCATGTGCTTGGCCATCTGCCTTCTCTTCATGTTAGCCTCTGTGCACCATAGCCCCTTTGGACCTTCACTGCCCTACAAGAATATGGCCTTTATGATCATGTTCTTTTGCCTCCCTGTGGCCTTCATGCTGTTTTACATTAGTATCACATGTTACATGATCTCGCATACTATTTATATGCTAAGCACATGGTGCTTCATATGTGTGCTGCCTTTACCTACATCACGTGGACTCAGTTCTTGGCTCTGACCTTTCCTGCTTGTCTTTAACATGGACACTGGCTAGTCAGTCTCCAGTGAAACCAGTACATTCTCAAGCTCTGTTACATCAAGGCTAGTGACTTGCTGGCGTTGGTGTTCGTGCTGGCCATGAATGCCGTCTTCAGCAAGCTTCTTTATCTATTACTGCTGCACAATAAATCCAGTGCACATAGTATTGACCATCAGCCAGAACTGAGAGTTCCATGGCCCTGGGGCACCAGTCATGCTGCTACCTACTGAATCTCTGGCTTTGGCCAGAAGTCCATGATACCCACCCCGCTGGACACAGCAGAATGGACCCTTGGCTGCTGGGCATGGATGAGGTTAAGGGTGAGGAGCAGTATGCCTTGCATTTTACATCATTATGCTTCTTCCTAATCCTCAGAGCCCTTCTACTGGTGAACCTTTGTTGAGACCTGTGCCACATCCCATCACTATTAGGCCATTGAGTTTTGTTTAGGTTGCTGTCATCCCCAGTTGGCTTCCTGGTCAAGAAGGACTTCAAGAACTGCCTATGGACCCAGACCCCCTGCCAGTGCATGAGACACACGCCTACTCACCCCAGCCTTCCAGAAATCCTACTGGCTGCCAGACAGGTGGGATGGTATGTGTGGACATGTCCTCACTGTCATCATGATGTGGATACAGGTGTTGCCTTGTGTATGTGGAAGATGAGTGCTATATGCTGTTTATTTCATCTCCAAGTAAAAATTCTACCACTCCCCCCGTTTTTGCCTAATGGGAAAATAGAGCTGTACATGTCTGCTTTTTTTAAAAATTTAATTTAACTTGTGGCTCTTTATTATGGATATTTTCAGACATGCACAGAAGTGTGCCCATCACTTAGCTACATCAATTATCAATTATGATCAAATTTGTTTCATCTGTATCCCCCTCTCCTTGCTGGATTGGTTGTCAAAAGTCCAAGACACTGTGCCAGTTCAACCATGACTACTCTGGGAGACTGGGACTCTATTTTTAGTGGTGACAGTGATGGGATGCATTATTGTTACCGCATCAGGTCTGATTTTTGCTTTTAATGTTATGGAATGAAGTTCCAGATATGGCCCTTAAAAGCACAAGACTTCAGAATTAACAAAGAGTCTCAAAAAGAGACAAAGAAGATCCTGCCTACCCCTTGTGTCCACAGAAGGAGAGAAAGATAGACTGTTCTGTTCTGAAATTCTTCGAAGACTGATATGATAAGGTGCTTAACTGAGATCCTTCTCTAGAATATCCATCTTTTTTTCTGTGTAATATGGAGACTTCTGTGTCTGCTAGGACTGTTACCAACTTGTCCTAGTCTCTCTTAGTACAATTCCTGTTGTTAGAAGTATAATTTGGAAATTGTTGCTGTGTTCTATGAAAATAACCTTCCATAAGTAATCAGTAACTGGTTGTTTTACTTGAGAATTTGACACCCTGGTAATAGTGTAATTATTTCTGTATTCTTAAACAGTGTAAATGCTTGTAAGCTTACATGCATGATAGAAAAATAAAAAAATAATTATAGAAACACATTACCTACCTACCTAAACTAACACAAACAGAGATAGAACAACTAAATAAACCTATAACAACAACAACAACAAAAAATTGAAAAGGTCCCGGCCCTGACGGCTTCACTGGAGAATTCAACCATATTTTCAAAAAAGAGTTAATGCCAGTACTACTGAAGGTATTTCAGAGCATAGAAAATGATAGAATATTCCCAAACCCATTCTATTAAGCAAGCATAACCCTGATACCAAAACCAGGTAAAGATACCACAAAAAAAGAAAATTACAGACCAAGATCCCTCATGAACACAGCCACAAAAACTCTGAACAAAATTCTAGCCAATAGAATTCAACAACATGTCAAAAAAATAATTCACTGTGACCAGGTGAGATTCATACAAGATATACAGGGATGGTTCAACATTATAAAAACAATCAATGTAATCTATCACATAAATAAAACAAAAGATAAGAACCACATGATTTTACCAACTGGTGCAGAAAAGGCATTTCAGAAAGTCCAACATGCATTTCTGATTAAAAAAAAAAAACTCTCAGCAAAATAGGAATAGAAGGAAAATTCCTCAACATAATAAAGGGTATTTATACATAGCCTACAGCCAGCATCATTCTAAACGGAGACAGCCTGAAAGAATTCCCCCTGAGAATGAGAACCAGACAAGGATGCCCTTTACCACCACTCTTATTCATCATTGTGCTAGAGGTCCTAGACAGAGCAATTAGGCAAGAAAAGAAATAAAGGGTTTCCAAATTAGTAAGGAAGAAGTAAAAGTATCCCTATTCACAGATGATATGATCTTATACACAGAAAGTTCCAAAGAGTCCATAAGAAAACTGGAATTAATAAGATTTCAGCAAAGTATCAGGGTACAAGATAAACATACAAAAATCAGTTGAATTGCTCTACATCAACAAAGAGAACTTCAAAGAGGAACTCACCAAATCAACACAATTTACTGTAGCCCCCAAGAAGATAAAATAATTAGAAATAAATCTAACCAGAGACATAAAAGACCTATACAAAGAAATCTACAAGACACTACTGCAAGAAACCAAAAGAGACCTGCATAAGTGGAAAAACATACCTCACTCATGGATAGGAAGACTCAACGTTGTGAAAATGTCAGTTCTACCCAAAGCGATCTATAGATACAATGCAATTCCGATCCAAATTCCAACGACATTTGTTAATGAGATGGAGAAACAAATCACCAACTTCATATGGAAAGGGAAGAGGCCTTGGATAAGTAAAGCATTATTGAAGAAGAAGAACAAAGTGGGAGGCCTCAAACTACCTGATTTTAGAACTTACTATACCATCACGGTAGTCAAAACAGTCTAGTACTGGTACAACAAGAGATACATAGACCAATGGAACAGAATTGAGAATTCAGATGTAAATTCTTCCACCTATGATCAGCTTATATTTGACAAAGGCCCCAAGTCCGTTCAATGGGGAAAAGACAGTCTCTTTAACAAATGGTGTTGATATAACTGGATATCAATCTGCAAAAAATGGAACCAGGACCCATGCCTCACACCAAGTACAAAAACTAACTCAAAATGGATCAAAAACCTAAATATAAAATCTGAAAAGGTAAAGATCATGGAAGAAAAAATAGGTACAGTTCTAGGAGCCCTAATATATGGCATAAAGAAAATACAAACTATAACTAACAATGCACAAACACCAGAAGAGAAACTAGATAATTGGGAGCTCCTAAAAATCAAACACTTATGCTCATCAAAAGACTTCACCAAAAGAGTGAAAAGAACCTACAGACTGGGAAAATAATTTTTGGACATGACATATCCGAGCAGGGTCTAATCTCTAAAATCTACAAGATACTGCAAAACCTCAACCACAGAAATACAAACAATCCAACTTAAAAATGGGCAAAGGATATGAACAGGCACTTCACCAAAGAACATATTCAGGCACCTAACAGATACATGAGGAAATGCTCGCGATCATTAGCCGTTAGAGAAATGCAAATCAAAACTACAATGAGATACCATCTCACCCCAAAAAGGCTATCATTAATCCAAAAAACACAAAATAATAAATGTTGGAGAGGTTGTGGAGAGACTGAAATACTTATACACTGCTGGTGGGAAAGTAAAATGTTACAACCACTTTGGAAATCGATTTGGCCCTTACTTAAAAAGCTAGAAACAGAAGTATCATATGATTCAGCGATATCACTCCTTGGAGTATATCCTAGAGATATAAGAGCCATCACATGAACAGATATATACACATCCATGTTCATTGCAGCACTGTTCATAATAACAAAAAGATGGAAACAACATAGGTGACCATCAGTGGACAAATGGATAAACAAATTTTGGTATATTCAAACAATGGAATACTACACAATGATAAGAAATGATGAATCCGGGAAACATCTCAGTAAGGATGAATCTGGAAGGCATTATCCTGAATGAAATTAGTCAGTCGCAAAAGGACAAACGTTGTGTGAGATCACTATTATAAGAACTCAAGGAAAGGCTGAAACACAGAAGAAAACATTCTTTGATGGTTACGAGGAAGAGGAGGAAGGGAGAGGGTAATTCACTAACTAGGTAGTAGACAAGAATTGTCTCAGGTCAAGGGAAGGACAACACACAACACAGGGGAAGTCAGCACAACTGGACTAAATCAAAGCTAAGAAGTTTCCTGAATACAACCAAACACTTTGAGGGAAAGAGTAGCAGGGGTGTGGGTTTGGGGAACATGGTTTCAGGGGACATCTAGGTCAATTGGCATAATAAATTTTATTAAGAAAATGTTCTGCATCTCACTTTGGTGAGTGGCATCTGGGATCTTATAAACTTGCGAGTGGCCATCTAAGATGCATCAATTTGTCCCAACTCACTTGGAGCAAAAGAGAATGAAGAACAGCAACCACACAAAGAAAGTATTAGCCCAAAAGACAAAAGGGCCACATAAACAGAAACTCCATCAGCCTGAGACCAAAAGAACTAGGTGGTGCCAATCTACCAATGGCCACCCTGACAGGGAACACAAGAGAGAGTCCCTGACGGAGCAGGTGAAAAGTGTGGTGCAAAACTCAAATTCACCACGTAAAAAGACCAGACTTAATGGTCGGACTGAGACTAGAGAAACCCCTGAAGACATGGTCCCTGACTTTCCGTTAACCCAGAACTAAAACCATT